ATGATGTGAAGGGAGCCGAGAGTTTGCAGCAGCAGGAATTAGCGCTGACTCTGTTGATGGAGCGGACTCCTTACTTGCTTGCTCCTCGTTTTGCTCCTCCTTTTGCTCCTCGATCATGTCTTCTTCGGTAGGTTGTTCGATGATCTGTGTTCTTTTGACCAAGTCTTGGTAGGAATTTATCTGAGTCGGCTGGTTTGTGAATAGTATGAACGCATATTCATAGAAGTAATATAATGCATTTATTTTCGTCGCCTCCTCACAGAAAGTATGATCCAATGACCAAGACAATCTGTGCAAAGCATCAGCCGTGACATTTATTACCACTGACTACATGTCCGATTCAATGAGAAGATTGACGATAAAATCAACGATAATCCATTCTGTGGGGATGAGTGATCTGAAAATCAGTGACGGGAAAGCCCAGTCATTGCGGTCTGTTACTTGTAGTTCTGTCCAGTTAATGATTGTCAGGAGAAGACTATAGGCTATAAATGCTTTCATGGCTGCTTTGTCCCCTCTGATCCAAGTGAATCTGAGTATCGAAGCAAACGCTTAAATACAAAGCAGCGTTATTCATCTCTAAAGGCGCGCAAAATGTAATGAAATTGACTAAAATTGAATTCATTACAAAATAAAGGGTGAAGTCAATATTCTTTAGGCTTGGTCTCTCAGTATCATGAATTGCCGAGAGATAACAACCGGTAATTGTTGTAATTCACTCCTCTAACCGGAAGAGTCTAGTCTACATTTAAGAATGTATACAAAATTTAAAGTTTATTCATTCCGTGTGGTTGTTTGTTTGTGTGACCTGGAAAATCGTTAAACTAATAAATGCTACACAATCCATGTTCAATATTTTACAAGTAGTGAGCATTTAGAAAGTTCGCACAAGCGCGGGCGGTTATTCGATCAAAAATTGCCTCAAACGTCGAATTAGGTAATTGGATATAACACGTGCATCAGATAAAGCTAGAAGTTGATGCAACCTCAAGTTACTGACTGGCTGAAATTTATTGCCAGAATAACCAGTTCGCTCCTCCCCGATGTTCTTCCTTACGGCATATGCTGCGTGGTCTTTAAATAGAACGACGCTTGTTCTTAGTCAAGACTTCTTTGATCTTCGGTATAACCAGGTTCAGAGACAATCCTTCGCAAGCAACTAACCTGTGCAACTGGGCATAATCGGAGGTAACGAGTAACAGCTTTCGCGGATGAAGACGAACAGTCTCAAACTTTCCAAC